TCACATTCAATTGTTCAATGTGTGTCTTGGTCTCTTCTGCCATCTGCTTTGACATATTTCTGTTTTCGGTCTTAATATACAAAGAATAATTTCTATTACTAAATCTTGAAAATTCTGCCTTTACATTTTCTTTATCTAGTGTTTTTTTGGCTCATCTCTTCTGATCTCAAATGGAACTTGCACAGCTGAAACACTTGTGTTGTCTGTAAGATCCTTATGTTTCTCTGTCTTTCTATACTGTAAAGAATTTGTGGCACCTCCATCACACTCATAGACATGATATTATTCACTAAGCTATAGTTCTCACATCTGGTCTCCAACTTTAGCTCACTGCCAAAATCTTTCTTGTCTCAATCAACAACCTACCACCTCTCTCACTTTTTGACTTGTTGTGCTTTCCTTTACAAGAGATCATTCTTTCCTGCAGTCTCAAAAATGTAGTATTCTATCTCTGTTAGTCTTCCATTTACAATTCAAAGTTTTACTTGAATGTAGCATCAGATTCAGATTTGACTATATGTTTGATGTAGCTACGTATTTTAACTGAATAAGCATTACACTTGGAATTTTCTGTTCATTGTCTGAAGTCAAGAGTTAATTCATTATATTACCCAATGAAAGGTCATCAACCTAAAATGTTAGCTATTTCTCTCTCCACAGATGTTGCTGCTGAGCATTTTCAGCACTCTGCTATTTCATCTGCGGTATTTTGTTTTCCTGTCATTGCATTTTTTTGTTTGTGTGTATATGTGGAATTAATCCAGTTTTGTTCTTCAAAGAAATAGAGACCTGAAATTTTAGTGTCACTAGTATGTTCTTGAAAGTACAGTGTTTTAGAATTAAAAACATATAGCGCTGATCATATTACCGATTCCAAGAGAATCGATCATTGAGGCACTCCAGTAACCATTGCACTAATCTACTAGTGGAAGTCAGGGTGGCCCACAGACATTCCACTGGAAGGAACCAGAAGCGCTTCCCGGTCCAAAAATTAAATCATGTAATTTTCTTCAGATCCTGAAAAGATCAACTCCATAATTGCCAAAATAAGGAATCACCTTAGAGATCAATTCTTTAGTCCTATTAATTTTTGGGATCTTTCCCTTGGCTTCAGTAGTACTCATGTGGTTTTCAGCAGGCCACAGGTCTGCTGAGATTGTATGCGATTGTGAAGGACAGAGTTCCTTGGGTGACAGAGAAACCTCTCCAAACATAGTTCCAGGGGAAGGGGAGAAAGCTATTTGACCACTTCCATTTACTCAGAATGTATGGGTGAAATTTGAGTGGAGCTAGATTCTGCCTCGAACTCTGGCATCTCAGTAAGTGAAAAATCTCACCTCTGAAATTCTGGGCCTGAACTGAATATGGACAGGGCAGTATTTGGATTCTCTAGTTCTTATTGGTTTTGAAATATGTCTAAATTAAATCTGCTTAGATACTGCAGGGAAAACCCTTACTTGAAGCACATGGACCAAGAAAACATTCTGTAAGTGGAGAACAAGATGTTAAGTCCTGGTGTTATTCACTATGCAGTACTCTGGACTCTGTTTTTGTGTGAAAAAACATTGAGAGCTCCAATCATCTGACTCTACTTAAAGATAGTTACCTTACATTCTTTTATCATTCTATATTAGTATGGGCTGGATTTTCTGAGAAGGGGCAATCCCATGCAGATTGCCTGTCCTCTCCTTTTTTTACAAAAAGAAAGAGCTCTGAACTTCTGACAGGAGATTCCAATCAGGGCTCCTTCGCAGATGTGGAGCCATGCTTCCATTCTGACAGGTCCTCTTAATAAAGATCAGTTAGGGGAAGGCTTACCACACCCATTTTCACAGCGTTCAGTTATTGATTTCTGTGATTTAAATGTCCAGCATCACAGACAGCCACTTTGATGCTCCTGTAAAAGGCAAAGAACATTAACTAAGTTTGGGGTATGAGGATGCTAGGTGACTAGGGTATCAAGTAAATAGGGTGCCAGGTAAGTAGGATACCAGGTGGGTGAACAGCAGAGTACCTGGGTAGGTGAGATAACAAGTAGGTAGGAGTAGGATGCCAATAAGTAGGGTGACAAGTAGGCAGTGGTTAAAGTGTGCCAGGTAGGTAAATTGTCAGATTGACAACAGTAGGATGCAAGGTGGGTAGGGTATCAGAGAAGTAGGTCTCTGGTTACAGTGTGGCAAGGGGGTCAGGTAGGTGATGGAGTGTTTAGGGTAGGTCACAGTGGCTGGGCGATATTGGGTCCAGCAGAGGGTGCGTGCTGGGATGGTGTCTGAACCGGGCTGAGGAGATTGTTGGCTATGCCAATGGGTCAGAGGTGTTCAGGTTTGGTATTGGGACAGGGGATTTTTGCACCCTGGTGTAGAGGGATCTTCAGTAGCGAGGAGGGATGTTGGGTTATTGGTAAGATGTTGGACTGGCCAGTGGGGAATGGGGGTATTGGGGCAGGGAAAGATGGTGGTGTTGGGTTCTGGGAGGTGGGATGGTGAGGAGGTGTTAGGTATGGTGGCAGAGGAGTGTTAGGTACCGGAATAGCTGGGGGCATGTATCAGTTTTTGAGGCAGGGATATTGAGTTCAGTGGGTAAAGGGGGCGTGTGTTGCAGGAAGTTCTGGGAAGTTTAAGGGGTCTGTGATTGAAGTAGTTGGGGACTTGCAAGATAAGTATGTGTGATGTGATTAATTAATCAGGAGTTGGGGCTAGGTATTTAACAGACTAATGTTTTATGAATAGTTATTTATTTAACTGCAGCAGATCCCTCCAAATTCTCTGATTTAAACGGAGAGATTTGGAGGTCAAAGGCATGGGAGAATTGCCCAGTGGAATCTTCAATCTCTGAGGCAATTCCTTCAGAGCCTGCCATGTTTGGGATTTGACAGGGGAGCCATGTGCATCTCCCATCAACACGTCAGAAACAATTATCTGGCTATTGGAAAATTTGAGTCTATATTTTTAACAGTTGATGTTATTATCAGTCAGTTTGACTGGCTGTTTAGTCTGGTGGAATCTCTAAAAAATATAGAAGAAATTTTCACCTATCTGAAGTGTATGTTGTGGAACAGCAACAAGACTTCTTTAATCCAGCGTCAGATCATACTTGAGTTAATCACTACTCCTTTGGTTGTGCACTTTGGAGAGCCAGAGAGCAAAAGCGCATAGATTTGAATTCATAAGAGACGTAACAACTGTTAGTGTGGAGGGCAGAGCAGGGTCTTTCAGTGGGGCTGGCACTTGTCACAAGTGGGAGGCTTCTGTGAGGACAGGTAGTCCAATCAGGAGAGCTCCCTAGTTCTGAGGAAGGGTCACCGGATCCGAAATGTTAACTCTTATCTTTTCTTCACAGATGTTGCCAGACCTGCTGAGCTGATCCAGCAACTTCTGTTTTTGCTCCTGATTTACAGCATCCGCAGTTCTTTTGGTTTTCAGGAGAGCTCCGCTAATTTGCAGGATTGGGGGTGGGGAGGTGCGAATGCTCTAGGTCACATGCATGGTATATTAGAAGACTAGACCAGCAGACTGCCTGCACAGTTTAAGTTTCAAAATTTGACCTGCTGGTCCCAAAGAAAAATATCTAAGATTTATCAATGTGTTGCTTTTCTTTCACCAGAGGCAAATTTATTGAGGGTTACGGATGGTCCAACATCTAACACCAAAAGTGGAAGCATTCCTCCTGACCCAACCATCAGGAGTTCTGAGAAAATTACATCCCATATTGTCAGTGGAACCCTACTGCCAAAACTCCTGATCCACATGCACATGGAATTGCAGGGCTTCCTCCAGAAAGGTGGAAATCCCACCCTCAAGAACTGCCAACTAGTCAAGAGGAACTTCAAAGCAAAGGGCAGACGGGTGTCTCTCAGTCACAACTTTCCCCTCCCAACCCTTTCAAATGTCGGGTTCTTTAATAAGGTTATGACTGCCTTTGAATAAGGATCTTTCCCTCCGCAGTCATAAACAAGGCCTACAGGGTTTACTTGTTGATCTCCCCAAGTGTTGAGTCTACCACCTTACCAATAATGAGTGATGCTGTTAACTGGGCACTAGCTGACTAATTAAGGCTGTCAATTGGCGTCCAGGTTGGAAGGTTCCCTGATCTGCAAGTCTTCCCACGCTGCTCTTAATCAGGACAAAGATGGCAAGGTAGTGGGATCTTCACCCAAAATCCTCTGGCCAATTAAATGGCCATCCCACCTCAGAACAGGCCTCTGTCATAAGTCTTTGATTAGGGTGTAATTGGGTACAGAGCTTAAGACTCTCGTTGTCTGAATGCCTTTCAAAACGGGTTCCCGAACTGATAAGGAGGAAAATAAGGAGGTAAACTTTGTCACTCAAATGGCTTCCATTATTTTATAACATAAAATAATGGGAACCTAGGTGCTATTGATCTCTGCCTTTTCTCGCTTAGCTTTATACTTAGAGGAACAAAAACAAAGTTGCTGGAAAAGCTCAACAGGTCTGGCAACATCTGTGGAGGAGAAAACGGAGTGAACGTTTCGGGTCCGGTGACCCTTCCTCAGTCACCGGACACAAAACATTAACTCTGTTTTCTCTTCCACAGATGCTGCCAGACCGCTGAGCTTTTCCAGTAACTTTGTTTTTGCTCCTGATTTACAGCATCTGCAGTTCTTTTGGTTTTTATACTTAGAGGATAAGCTTTCCTTGTGCAAAACCTAAGAAAATCGACAATTTCTACTGAACAGCTCACTGGTATGTCTCTTTTGTATATGTTGCAATGGCTTCCACTAAAATGCAGCAAATACTAAAATTACCATTTATTGTGGATTAACTGAAACATTCATTACTGGTAATTTTGAGAAGAATACTGCTTTGTTTCTATTTAACTGTTGACTATGTAGTTTATAGAAATTTACAATAGAGTGGTAAAAATTTGATGAAATTCAGGAGAATACTGTGGACAAACTGTTGATTAATCACTTATTTGGTGTATTCTAATTTAAAAATCAAAATTAATGTTTTTATTGACTTTATTCAACCTTGTTTCAGGATCATCTAGACCAAAGCCAATAACAGTGAATGTAACAAAGGTTACAAAGATTGTGCTGTCCTGCAATTTGACTCTTCTGGCTACACACAAATCTCCAATAACTGGCATGTGGGAAAAAGATGGAAACAAGATTGACAAAAGGGAATTTGATTTTGACCAGAACACTGGCCACCTGTTTCAAAACTATGAGTAAGTAGTCAAGCTGTGGAAAAAAAACAGCAAATATTTTAACCAGAAGTCAAAATTCTCATTCAAGCTCGGAGGTTGGGAACTATTGAATGACGTTCCTGCACAGTAAAGCAATGTTGCTGTTTATCATTTGGTTCAACAAAGAAATTAAGATGTTCATTTTTAGATGATAACACCACTGTCAACGTGACAAAATTATGAACATAATAGGTGCATGTTAAGTCTTTCTAGAATAATACCACCGTAGTATTTCTACCATAGAGATAACAAGGTGTAGAGCTGGATGAACACAGCAGGCCAAGCAGCATCAGAGGAGCAGGAAGGCTGACGTTTCGGGCCTAGACCCTTCATCAGAAATGGGGGAGGGGAAGGGGGTTCTGAAATAAATAGGGAGAGAGGGGGAGGCGGATAGAAGATGGATAGAGGAGAAGATA